CTTACCTTGATCCCATTCTGCATCTCTACCCACAATCACTGTGAAAGAGACCTTCTGTTTGACAGCCACTCTTAGGCATAATTCTAGTTTTGTTTGGTTTCATAGAAAAATGTCTATTCAGTTGACTAACTTTTCCTTTGAGCCTAAAAATATCATTATTCTGGTCATCAATCCTAGAATTCAACTCTGAAAAATCAAACTTCATTTTTTTCCTAATTATGTCATTTGTTAAGAGAGATAAATGTTGCCATGTTACCTGAGTGAAAGTGAGCAAATGCAAAGGCGGGAAGCATGTAAACAAACTCAGGGTGGACGCCAACAGGCTAGTTTCTGAATAGGTTTCACTTGGGGTTTAGGTATTTCTAAGCGCAACATTTATGAGTCCTGATAGAAGTCAGTCATCAGGATTAGTGAAAGGCATGTGCTTCCTGACCCAGGAAATCTAACAGTTTGGTTACAGTGTCTACAGAGAACAGAGTGATACAAATTTCAACCATATACCTGTTGGTTTCTGGAGTAAGTTGTCACGTGATTGTCTGAGAACCAGTAAGAACCAGTCTGATTCCCATGCATCTGGAGTGTTATACCAGGTTGAGGCATGGAACAGGGTAGATTCCTGGGTAACACTTTCTCTGCCTTCCCTTCCTCTACTTTGCCTTGTGTGCTTGTTCATCAGTAGGTCACGTGGAAAACGAGGGCTTAGGAGCAAACATCACTCACAGTTGGACAGCACGTTGTTTCTGGGCGGAGTGCTCTGGTCTTTAAAATATCTTTTTTTATGGCCATTACTTCCTCATCCAGCAGGTATGTACTGAGCACCTCCACTATTGTATTACAATATCTAAATTTCAAGGGCATGAGCTCTGTGGAAATACGACCTGCTGTCCTCCAATGATCATTGAATCCTACAATGCACAGGACCCAAAACAAAGCAAATGGTGACTTGTATATTGGAAGAAAATCATAGAAGGAAAACCTGGGCAGCATCTCAGAGACTCCAAGCCTCCTTCCATGCACTAGGAGCCATAGGACGAAGCACCCAGGGGATTGGCTCCTCCCCCACCGTGTCCTGAAGCTGACTGTATCCTTGACAGCAGCAAAACCCATCTTCTACCCGCCATCTGTGCACATCTGCACATTCGGGGTATAGGGAAAGCCACAGGACAACTGCTCTGAGCCAGACTGCCTGGGTTAGAATCCCGCCCCTGCTATTTAATTGCCATGTGACTTGGCCAGTTAACCTATGTGCCTTAGTTTTCTCAACTGTCAAATGGGGATAGTAGTAAATGGCACCTGTCTCCCAGCACTGTTGCTAGCCAGGGAGGCACAGCAGGCTTGGCATGTGAGATAAGCATTAGCGTGTTAAATGGATGTTCTGTTTTAGAACTACGGCTTTTGGATTACAAAGCATATCAGTGTAAACATTTTAAAAGATTGGGTTTACACACAAAACGGCTAGTATAGGCTGACTATTCCTTATCCAAAATGTTCAAGAACAGAAATAACTTTGAATTTTTAAAAAATTTTGGAATATTTGAATATGCATGATGAGAATTTATTGGGGTTTTTTGTTGTTTTTTTTTTTTGTTGTTGTTGTTGTTGTTTGTTTTGGGAGACAGGATCTCATGATGTATCCCTGGCTGGCCTAGAACTTGCTATTAGATCAGGCTGGACTTGAAATCCTCCTGCCTCTGCCTCTGCCTCTGGTATTTCCTATACACAAAGCCTGAAGGTGGTTTTGTACATTTTTGGTGTGTCTGTGTTTTAAAGGTAGTCATCATGTGAGGTCTTGTGTGGAGTTTTCTACTTGTGGTGTCATATTGGCATGCAGAAGGTTTTGGATTTTGAGCATTTCAAGTTACAGATTTTCAGGCTAGGGATACTCAATCTTTATTTTATTTCTGTACCCCATTGCTTGCCTTGAGCACTCCATTTTGGATACCACAGCCCTGGGGAGATCAGGCAAATTGTTCCTCCCCTTCTCCAGGAGTTAGAACTGACCACAGCCTTGGGCTGACCGAAGTCAAAGTGGCCACACCCAGGCTATTTTGTATTTGTTAGTACCCTTCATACAGAACATGTCTTCTTAAGCCCCTTCTTGTTGAAATAAGGAACAGGCTGAGATTCTCCTGGTGGAATAGGGATAGAGAGCTGCTGTCCTAGGAGGAAGGAGAAGGAAGGTGGGGAGTAGCAGGAAGGTCACTGAGCCTGAATGCACCTTGTTCCCACCCACAGGAAGTCCTCACAGCCTGACCTCTTCTCCAGTCAGAGCTTTTCAGGAGGGCAGTCCCCCAAAACCATGTGGATGCTTTCTGGTCCCTGTTCAGTCAGAGTGGCAGGAAGGCACTGGAAATGAAAGCCATGGAAATGAAAGAGGGATCTGGGTTACAGCTGAATCCAGGCCTGACCCGGATTCTGTTACTTCCTTTTCAATAAATCATCTCGTGGCTTTGAAGGTAACTTGTTTGCTGCAGGAATAATACAGTTTGGAGAATGAACCACCTTGAAATTGATCATACCCACAGTTCTTAGACATTTATCCTTGTCAGCAATGTCCCAAATGCCCTTCATGTGTGACATCTCCTGCCATCTTCTAAGCTAACCAGTGAAGGAAGGTATTACTGTTAGCGTCATTTTACAAGTAAGATTAAGGAAACCAGGACTCAAAACTCAGGCCTCACAGACTACATAGCCTGCTTCTAAGCTTTCCAACCTTGTGAAGCCACTGAGAGTAAGTGTGTAGGAAAGAACTTCATGAGGTTCAATACCAGGTGGACAAGGCGTTATCATAGCATCATGTGTCCTAGTCAGCATATTTATAATATACCAGTGGCTGGCTGTCTCCTTGGTCCCACATAACTGCAAGGTATTTAATTTTACAGTTAATAAGGAAACTGGGAGTCAGAACCAGATATGTTGCAGGGATGTGGAGCTTGTACATGGTAGATGATGGTTGATTGGGACTTAGACCCTGGTCTTCATGTCTCTAGAGTTCTGACCTTAACCTCATCTTTTGTGAACACCTCCCTGAGGCTTGAGAGACCTCAGAGGCCTACTACAGGGGCTGAGGTGAAAAGATGTTTGTTAAATCATGAAAGTCACTGCTAAAAGAGCTGGAATTGGAAGGCAGTCCCCAGGTGTTAACTTGGTTGATTATGAGACACAAACACACTGACTCTTTGGTCCACTTAAACCATAGCCTAGGGGGGTGGGAATGTAGGTAGCTTAGTTAGTAGAGTGGTTGCTAAGCATGCTCTTAAACCCTGGATTTGATCCCCAGCACCACATAAACCAGTATGGTATAGTGCATGCCTGTAATGCCAGCACTCAGAAGGGAAAGACTAGAGGATCAGAAGTTCAGGGCCATCCTTGACAACATAGCAAGACCTCTGCTACAGATGTCTGAAAGTCGAATTAAAATGACCTGTAGAGGAAGTTATACATGTTTATACTTTCAACAAATGTTTGTTGGCACTTTCTGCCCCCAGCCATGTGGGACGTACTGCCTGGCTACCTCTCTGTCCTAGGGGGTAGAGTGTCTCCCACAGTGAGGACAGAAGGGCTGGGCACTGCAGGAACATAGAGGGTGGGGGAGAGGGACTATGAGAGAATTTCCCCTAAGGAAAGAGGAGCAGCTGTCCAGAGGGAAGGTTGAGTGGCCTAGAGGCCACCCAAATTGCTTGAGGTGTTGAAAAGATCACGAGATTAAACTGGTTTGTCGGGATAGAAAAAGAACTGTTGAAAGGCTCAGAGCATGAATCAGACCTGTCCTCAGAAAGTACGCGTCAGCTGTGGAATTGCAGGTGGGTAGGAAAACAAGGAGGCCAGGAGATTGTTCAGTTCAGTAAGAGATGATTGGGGGGCAGGGGGCAGTGTTCATCCTGTGAGTTGGGGTCAGCACCTCAATTTCTCTTTCTACCACTGTCAGCTGGGGAATACTGTTCTGACAGCATCTTCCAGCATGAGGCTTAACAAGGGGGAACTTTGAACTGTAACCCTTACTTCAAATCTCTGGGATCAACTAAAATCCCCCAGATCAACAATTACTCACTCCACTTTGGAACTTTGATGAAAAAGCCTGATTGAAGCATTTCATTCAGTTTTCATGTAGACAATGATGGCTAGCCAGGTGAGGTGACACACACCTCTAATCCCAGCACTGAGGCAGGAGGATCTGTGATTTTAAGGCCAGCATGGGCTGCTTAGCAAGGGCCTGTCTCAGAATGACGACGATGGTTTTTCCCTTAGCATCTCTTTCCCTCGTGCTTGTTGACACAAAGTGCCAAGGAGCACAAGCTACATTAATGCTACATGTACAAGCTACATTAATGCTACATGTATGTGTTCTTTCAAACAGGCTGGAGGGAAACCGAGGCAGGTTAGGGGGTGGCAGGCAGAACTTCCCTTGAGTGGCCCCTCCCTTTCTGACTCAGAGATGCCTTATAACATACCCACAAAGCTGCTTCAATGGACCACCAACTCTCACACTAAAGTGGTGGGGGTTGCTGTGTGCTCTGTCCTTGCTCAGAGGACATAAGGGGCATCATGAGCCAAATAACCAAGGGAACCAGGTTGTCTGAGTCAGTGAAGGCCCCTGACTGCTGCTGTCTCAGGCATACTGATGACAGAAGCTAGTGGAAGCAGCCAGAGCAGTTATTTTGGAGAGAGGGAAATGGCATTTCCCATCATCTCTGGAACCCCAGGAAGCTGTGTGGGGTATCAGGGGAGCCCACTGCTAGAATGACAGAACATGCTAGTAGACTGAGTCTGTGTGAAAAAATCACCTGGGCCTACAGTTTTGTCAAGTGTCACCTGTTCTGGGAAAACTTGTACCTGGGGATGTAAGAATTGTTCCTGCTGTAAACTCCCAAAGCTACGAGGATGTCTTTCCACCCACCAGCACCCTCACCAGCCCATCCTACCCACTGCTAAGTGTTGTTTTTTTTTTGTTTTGTTTTGTTTTTTGGTGTTTTTTTTTTTTTTTCTGCCAATGTGTTTAGGGTGAAGAAGCTGAAGGAGACATTTGCTTTCATTCAGCAGTTAGACAAAAACATGAGCAACCTTCGAACCTGGTTGGCGAGAATTGAGTCGGAGCTCTCCAAGCCGGTTGTTTATGATGTCTGTGACGATCAGGAGATCCAGAAGAGGCTAGCTGAACAACAGGTGGGTGACAGGAAGGAGTGTTGAGGGGAAAAGTGGCTACCATGGAAGGCCAGCACAGACCTGACCTCATCTGGGTGTTTCAGGGAGTTCAAACATGGGTTTGTTTTTCCAGAGGAAACTAATCTCCTGTACGGGTCCTGTCAGTGTATGTGTGAGGCATCCATCTCTTGAATGCTCCCCCTCCATATAGCTCTTTGTGAAATAGTTTGAATAATGTTAAGATGAAGCCCTTAATCTTGTTGGTTAATAAGTTTCTCTCTCTCTCTCTCTCTCTCTCTCTCTCTCTCTCTCTCTCTCTCTCTCATACCTAGAGCTGGAATCACAGGTGATTGTGAGCTACCTGATGTGGGTGCTGGAAACTGAACTCAGGTCCTCTTATACTCACGTGCACATACCCACACACAGACACACATAATTTTTTAAAAATAATATTTTTAAAAATTGAAGTGCTGTTATAGTTACCATGACACCTGTTCTTTGGCTTTCAAACTAGTCTGATTTTGTAATGCTACAAATTTAAAATACTGGTTTTCTACTTTGGAATCTACATGTGTCTTTTTTTATGGAGGTCATCTAGACTCTGTCTTTGCTTTGGAGAAAAGAATAGTGACATCATATAATTGTAGTGAACATTACAGAGATGTGAATATCCATTCCAGTGGAATCATAGCTAGGAACACTTAGCTCTACTTACTAGTTTGACCCTCTAGTATGAACAGTCTATCAATAAACATGGCCTTATAAATAACCATCCAGTAGCTGGTGGGTTGTTTTTTGTTTGTTTTGTGGTAAATGCTGGCACTGGCAATATCTTTGCTCTTAAAGAATGGTTGGCTAAATTTGGTAGGCACCTAAAACTGTTTTGACATTGTGTAAATCCAGTGTGACAAAACATTAAATTGCAGAGAATTTATTCCCCAAGCCAATTTGAAGCTGTTGTTCTCCTGGTTTTCTTTGTTCCCCTGATGAAATGGTCTGTCATTTCATTTTGGTGGATTTGAAGGCCTCCTCTTTGTAGAGTTCAAGATCATTATAAATGGAATTTTTAGCCCCTTTGATTACCAAAAAAAGTTATGGAATTGGTATTGGGGACTACCATTACCGTGAAGTTTAATGAGTTAATTTTCCCTTGTTGTAATGAACTACCACAGATTTAGAAGCTTAAAATCACAGAGTTGTTATCTTATAGTTTTGATGGTGCTGCAGAGCCGCCCTCTTTTCTAGAGGCTCTAGGGGGAAATTAATTTATGTAACAGGCTCCTGGAGGTCACTACCCTTGGTGGTCCCATCCTATCTTCAAAGACATTGACATTATATCTCCATGGACCTTTTTTTTTTTTTTTTTTTTTTTGGTCTTTTTGAGACAGGGTCTCCCAGTAGTCCCACCTGGCCTGGAACTCACTATGTAGACCAGTCTAGCCTTGAACTTACAAAGATCTACCTGCCTCTGCCTCCTGAGTGCTGGGACTAAAGGCATGCACCATCATGCCTGACCATGGACCATTCTTCATGGATCCTTTCTAATTCTCCTTCCACCTTTAAGGACCTTGGGGATTCCATTGGCCTAGCCCAGATTATCACCCAGAATGTCAATATTTTAAGGTCACATGATTTGCTGATTGGACTTCTTTGCTGAATAACCTAATGTAGTCACAGGTTGCAGGGTTAGGATATGGACATTCTTGGGAGCAGAGGAGGTCTTATTCCACCTACTGCAGATGTCCTGAAGAAATTGTTAGCATTTTGTTGAAAAGAATGCTGCCATGTGTTCATTACAGTAAGTCCAGACCTTCCAAAATAGTGAAAACAGAATGCTACCCCCAAAATTATGGATGGGCCATTTCTCAAAACTTTATATTTCCATCCTGAATAAATGCAATAAACTGCTTCCAAAAATAAGACCTAAAAAGGTGGGACCCACCTAGTACTGCCCTCCGAAAAAACCCTCAGCCCCCTAAAGTTGTTAAGATCAATGATGTCCCTTGGTCCTCATAGTAATTTCCTTGGGGACCTGGCAGAAGAAGAATTAGGCCCTCTGAGAGTCGTTTCTGCTCCTGTTTCATTATATAGAACTCCTTTAGCATGTGATGCGAAGGTTGTACTGTTACTCCTTCAAAATACAAATGTGGTGGGGACTCTGTGATGCTTCCAACATGGGCCATTTTCCTTGACCTCAGCATTTCTCTCCTGTTTTTGTTTTTTGTTTCTTGGTTTTTTTTTCACTACTTGGTTCCCTGTGGGGTGGGGTACCACATGGTGGCTTAGGGGGAAAGCTCCCATTCTGTAATCAATAGCCCTTTCCCCTGAACAGACCTGTTCAATTCACCCCAAACTCCCAAAGCATCTCCACCACCACCATCACCTATTCAACTTGCTGCCTGATTTGCTTATCCCCTAGACCCTTCCTTGGAAACAGCCTGGAGCCACCCTACCACCCCATTCCCCCACCCTACCCCACCCTGGATCCTCCCTCTCATTTTCCCCTTCATCCCCTGGTTTCTTTTTCTCTCCATTCTTTCCATCTGCATTCTCTTCCCCAGTGTCGCTCACCTCTGCTTGCTGCGGCTTCTTCCTTAGCGCACTCTCAAAGGCAGTGCTCTGGATCACCTTCTCCGGGACAGAAAATCAGTATGAACAGGAGTGCCTTTTCAGAACTGATGGCAAAAGTCTGTCCCATCAGCTCTTCTCAGAGTTTGGACAGTTTCTGAAATGTAATTCTTGTTCAGACATGTGCCCACCTGTGTCACTGGTGTAGCACTTATATGGACTGCATTTTTTTATTATTTTTATTTTATGTATAGGAGTGTATCGATTTTAATTTTTTCTATTTATTTTTTATGTGTATGCGTGTATTGCCTATGTGTAGGTAAGTGCACCCATGTCGTGTAATGCCCGTGGAGGTCAGAAGAGGATGTCAGATCCCCTGGGACTGAAGTTGCAGACAGTTGTTAGCTGTCATGTGGGTGCTGGGATTCAAACCTAGGTCTTCTGCAAGAACAACCAGTGTTCTTAACTGCTGAGCCATCTCTTCAGTCCCTGTATGAGTGTATTGAATGCATGTATGTAAGCGCACTCATTTTGTGCAGTACCCCTGGAGGTCAGAAGAAGGCGTCAGATCCCCTGGAACTAGCGTTACAGGTGGTTGTTAGCTGCTCTCTGGGTGCTGGGAATCAAACCTGGGTCCTCTGTAAGAACAGACAGTGCTCTTAACCACTGAGCCATCTCTCCACCCCCTCCTTTTATATTGTAAGAGGTAACGAGTTCAAACTATATCAGTCAGCCATTTTATGGTGTTTTAGAAAATGTGGGGTTTTTAAAGATGGGGTATGTTGTTGAAACTGTTGGACTTTTTTAAAAAACCAGACGTTGCTTGCTTTTGAACTAAAATGTAGCTGATCTTTCATAATTATTTTAGAGCTCGTTTCTTGTCATTGCATCCCTACATATTCCATTTTCTGTAGCCATTTTATTCAACAGAAGCTGAATTAATAATGTAAGATAATCACAAAGACTCTTAAAGTGCCTGGCATTTGTGTCTGCCTCTGGACTCTGCCTTTCTGCTCTAGCCAGCTAGAGTCACCTGACGTCTTAGGCATTTTTCAATTAAAAGTATCAGTATGCCTCATTTAGTACTGCTCTTAGAGTTCACGTTTCTAATTTATTATTTTCCTAGCTAAAAAGGGCATGTATCAATACCAGTAAGCTTCAGGAAAGCCTGAAACAGTTCTGCAGACCAGAAACACGTCTTAAAACTGGAATTCTACTTGAATGCACTGACTGTAAAGCCAGCCCTGGTATTGGCCCTGGGAAGACTTGCACCCCATAGCATTTACAGGCTTTCTCTCTGGCTACAGAACTTAACCCACCTACACATCTCTTTCCATCTCTCCCACTTGGTGGACCAAGTGGGAGACACATTTTTTTCTGAATATAAATCTGTGGTGGGTCTTCAGTCAGGAGCTGAGCTAAGAATTGCCTGGGTTAGAATCCAGATGGGGTGTTAACATTTCTTTTCATAGTGATTTGAACACAGAATGTCCAGGGTATTTGTTTATCAGAAGAAATGTAAAAAGACTAGGTCCATCCAGTAGTCTCTAGAATTAAAGGTTGAAGTGAATTAGAATGAGTGCCTTTCCATGGACAATGGCAGCCATTGTTTGTAAAATAATACTCTTGTAAACTGACTTGCAGCATTAGTGTAATTTTATAGTGACTCACGTAAAACATACGTGGCCAAGGCTCTGCGTTGTGGTGTACTCCTTTAGTCTCAGCATTCAGGAAGGCAGAGACATCAGTAGATCTTTGTGAGTTTGGGGCCAGTCTGGTCTACATAGTGAGTTCCAGACCAGCCAGGGCTATCCAGTAAGACCCTATCTCTAAAAGAAAAACAAAACAAACAGCAACAAATGTACGTTTTAAGAAATGGGCATATAATAAAGCAATTAAAATAGAATTGAACTTTGTCTTTGCTACTTCATGGTATAATTTAGATACTAGGATTGATGGGGTGGTCTGACCACATTCGTCGCAGAATCTGAATAACAGGGATAGCTTCTCAGCTTTCTCTTTTTCTTTCCCTCTACCTCCCTTCCTCCCCATCCCCAGTCCACTCACACCCATAGTATGTGGGGAAAAAGTGTTTTTTCACAAGCTTGTCATCCTAACACTTGGAATGTAGAGGTAGAAGGATTAGAAGTTCAAGGCAAGTCTGGGCTACATGAAACCCTGTCTCAAAAAAAGGGGGGTGTGTGACTCATGTTCTGTCTTTTCCTATGGCCATGCACTACCTCTTCATAAGCATTCTTTTTATCCAGTCAAGGACACACCATCGCTATTAATATCATGAGACAAGACTCCAAAGACCTTACTTGGTCCCCAAGCCACAGCCTGTGCTGTAGCCTATGGGTGAAGAGCCTTGACATTCTTCCTAGGGAAACATAAAGTTCTCAGCTGGGCTCCTGGGGAGGCCATCAACATCTGTAAAGAACCAGAATAAAGGTCTTTGTGGATCTGAGAGTACTGTGATCCATCAAAGGTCAAGTGTTAGTTGCTTCAATTTTAGTTCCTGCTAAAGACTCAGTTTTCCAAAGACCTTCCCCAAATCAAGCCGTATTGGGGGGCCTCTAGGGTTGGGTGATTTAAATCAGCCCCATGTGTATCCAAAGCCTATGGTACCTAGCATGTCAGGGCCAGCAGTACCATCTGTCAGTGTGTCATGGACACCCCTGCCATTTGCACCCCCCATAATTCAGTACGTAAGCCCTGACGGTTGCCAGTATGTACGTTTCTGGTCAGGTGCCCACATCATAGGGTTTCCCAAAGAGAACTGGCTCAGTCTATTTGAATCCCAAGATACCTGTGCCCCTGGCCTGGGAGGGGAGAAGGAAGGATGAGTGGTGCTTCTTTGATGCCACCCTCCCTCCACCACCACCATCTCAAGTGCTTTTTTGTTGTCTTGCTATTGTAGGATCTGCAGCGAGATATTGAACAACACAGTGCAGGGGTAGAGTCCGTGTTCAACATCTGTGATGTCCTATTGCATGACTCTGATGCCTGTGCCAACGAGACAGAGTGTGACTCGATCCAGCAGACCACAAGGAGCCTGGACAGACGCTGGAGGAACATTTGCGCCATGTCAATGGAGCGGCGCATGAAGTAAGCAGCCAGCTGGCCTTGAATGTTGTTACTATGGCCAGCCAGACCAGCGTGCCTCTGAATTTTGAAACTATGACCAGCCAGACCAGTCTGCCCTTTCACCCCCAGCTGATACAACTGTGCTCTGTTTAAGTCACTTAGAAACACACTAGAAAGAGGCTGGGGATGCAGCTCACTCTTAGAGTGCCTATCATGGATGAGACCCTGCTTTCAATCCCCAACACAGCATAAACAGAGAATGATGGTGCATGCCTATCATCCTAGTCGTTGGGGGGGGGGGACACAAGAGGATGGAGAGTTCAAGGCTAGCCTGGGCTATGTGAGACCCTGTCTTAAAAAAATAATATAAGCCAAGAATTGGCAGAGAAACTCTAGTAGAGTGACCAATGTTAACAAGGAATCATTGAAGACATCTCTTTCCCTAGTCACAAAGCAGGGCAGGCAACCCCAACTCCTACTTTCAAGCCCTTGAGCTAGGCGTTTTGGGGTGGTTGGGTCCCCCAGAGGGAAAGTGTATAGACCAACAGCAACATCTTTAGTTATTTCCTAAAAGGGATAGTGGATTCGCTCCCTAAAATGGTTTGAGCAAAGGGAATGGGACCAGTCAAGGGACATGCAGAAATCTAAAGTGGGTAGACTTGCTTAGGTGGACATGGGTGGCTGTGCTAAGTCACATTCCTCCTGTCAGAATTGAGGAGACGTGGCGGCTCTGGCAGAAGTTTTTAGATGATTATACCCGCTTCGAGGACTGGCTCAAGTCTGCTGAGAGGACAGCAGCCTGCCCAAATTCCTCCGAGGTCTTGTACACGAGTGCCAAAGAAGAACTGAAGAGGTTTGAGGTGAATCCTTCCCCAGTCCCATTCTCCCACTGGGAGCCAAGCAGCCAGATGCCCCCACCACTATCAGGCTGCATAGCCCTCAGCCTGCTACCAGCTGCTAAGACAGCTTTCCGGTAACACGGATGTGTGCCAGCTGCTGTGCGGTGGGTGACCTTGGAGCTGTGCTTTACTGACCTCACAGAGCTGGGGACACAGCACTCTGCTGCTCTTGCAGCCAGAGCATCAGCCATGCCATTCTGAGTCAGGAAGGTGGGGATCCCAGACCTTTGCCTGCCTGGCACTGACCTCTCCTTGGGTGCCTCAGGCCTTTCAGCGGCAGATTCATGAACGACTCACACAGCTGGAGCTCATCAACAAGCAGTACCGGCGGCTGGCAAGGGAGAACCGCACGGACACAGCCAGCAAGCTGAAGCAGATGGTGCATGAGGGTAACCAGCGCTGGGACAATCTGCAGAAGCGCGTCACAGGCATACTGCGGAGACTCAGGGTAACCTTCCCACCGCCCTGGGCTTGCTGGTAGATTTTCAGAGAGAAGTGCTCTGTGAAATGTCTGTGGCAGGCTTGCGACACAGGGGCAGGTAGATAAACTGCCTTAACGTTCTTCCCACACAAAGGAATCTATGGCTGCCGCAATTCATTTTTAAAGAGGAATTTGCATAGAAATTCTTAGGCACTTGTTTGTATGATTCATGTTACCAAAACACATCTTTTTAAAACTTCTGTAACCCAATAGTGTGGGCATTGGCAGAGTGGGGCATAGGTTCCCTGGGTCAGCAAGGACAACACATGCGTTTCTGCCAAGAAACCTGCTTTGCCCATCTGATTGTATGGGCCTCGCATCAGAAATACAGATAAAACACAGAGTGTGCACCTCCCCTGCTGTGTGTGGGGTTGGACAGTGACTGACCAAGGGTTAGAGCACACTGACTAACCTCAGAGCATTCTGGGAAAATAAGAATCTGGGTTTTTTTTTTTTTTTTTTTTTTTTTTTTTTCTTTTCTTTTTAACCTTCTTAGGAGGACACTAGCAGGTATATCTAAAACTAGACAATTCCTTTGCATTTATTTCTTGCTGGTTTGGCTGTTACTAGTCTAAACCTTCATTTGGTTCTAAATGCCACATTTATCTGGAAATAGCTACCTGCCTGTGCAGTAGTAACCTGAACCTCCTTCATTGGAGAGGAGGAATCTGTTTGACACTTTCAGAATTACAGGAAGGTAAATGGGTGAGAGGGGCCTGAGCTCACTGTCTTTTTCTTTTACTTTTTTTTTCCTTTTTGTTTGAGTAGACTTAGTCTTACTATGTAGTTCAAACCAGCCTGCAATTCACGATTCTCCTGCCTCAGTCTCCAAGTACTAGGACTGCAACCATCTCCCATCATGCCTGGCTGTGCTTTTCTGTCTTGAAGCTGCTCAATCTCCTATCATGAGGAAAATGGCTACAGACTAATAGGAAAAACCCTAGGGGCCTGGCTGGGCCCTCTAGGTTCCCTCAGTGAACAGGGAAGATTTAGACCAAAAACCCCAGAATTCAGACTCCTGAAAAGACCCAAGAAAGCCATGCCCTCCCACACTTCCTGGGGTAGAAAACAAGGCTCGGAGCAGAATTCTGAGGCTTCTGGTACCCCAGAGACAGGTTTCTCTCCAAGAGCTCAGAACATCCTTTCCTTTAGGCCACAGGTGACCTTGTAAGTACTTTTCTTCCCTCTCTCACAGTACTTTACCAATCAGAGGGAAGAATTTGAGGGCACCAGGGAGAGTATTCTGGTGTGGCTCACAGAGATGGACCTGCAGCTGACCAACGTGGAGCACTTTTCAGAGAGTGACGCTGATGACAAGATGCGCCAACTGAACGTAAGTGCTTCTTTGGCAGCTCTTGGGAAAAGGTATCTCTGCAGAAGAGCTAGCCTGGTACAAACTTTAGCTGCTACACAGCAAATATTCCACAGTTCTTTAAGCAACAGGCCGCATCCCACCTGTGTACTTATAGACTCTCACAAACAGGGACACTGGTCCTCTCTGTCAAGTCTCATTTGAATGAGGCAGTTTTCTTAAGGTCATATGTAGTCAGTCATTCAAGGATGGCTCACTCTAGGTTCCAGAAAGAACTTTATAAGATGTTTCTCCACATTTGAGTTCCACATGTGGCAGGCTAGATGTAACAAGAAGAACATAGGTCACTGGTGGGGCCAAGAACAGATCCTTTCCTCTTCCACTGCTACTGATATCTGTATTACAGTCAATTTGGTAGTTTTGGTTTGGGTTGGCTGGTTTTTGTTTTTGAGATAAGGTCTTGCTATATAGCCCTGGCTGACCTGGTACTTGGTTATGTATGTAGCCCAGGCTGGTCTCAAACTCATGATGTTATCCTGGCTCAGCCTCCCAAGTGCTGAGATTACTGGCATGCACCACCATGCCTGGCCTTATTTTACAGCTTTATCTCACTTACTCTCTCCTTGGCTAGAAGATGTGATGGCAAATGAGAATTTGTCTCCCCTTAATACAGTGGCACTAATTAACACAAGTATTGTGTCTGCCAAGGCAGATGCCCATGGGAAGCTTACTCTGGCAATATTCCCACCAAGTGTCAATAAGACAAGTTCTCTCCCTCACACCCATAGTGATGAATGTCCTTGTGAGTCAAACTTCTAGTTTTTTTTAATTGGAAAAAAAATAGAGAATTTAAAAAAATTATTAGATTGTCATTGTCACTTAAAAATTAAAGCTACAGTACAAAACAGAACAAACCATCATGACATCTAATGTTCTCTCTCCTAATATCCTGTAATACAAAACAGACACTGGCTGAACACACAAGGAAATAGATCTTTAGAGGCCTCTGTCATCTTTCAAATAGGGCTTCCAACAGGAAATTACACTAAACACCAACAAGATCGACCAGCTCATCGTGTTTGGGGAGCAGCTCATCCAGAAGAGTGAGCCCCTGGATGCCATGCTGATTGAGGATGAGCTGGAAGAGCTACACCGCTACTGTCAGGAGGTGTTTGGCAGGGTGTCCCGCTTCCACCGGCGGCTGACCTGCCATACTCCAGTAAGTGTGCCCGCCCTCCAGGGCTCTGAGCTGCTCAGGGAGTACATCTGGCTGGATGTTTGAAGAACTGGGAAGGTTATCCCCTTCTGGACCCATGATTGATTTTTTTTGGGGGGGGGGTCTTTTTGAGACAGGGTCTCCCTGTAGCCCCAGCTGTCCTAGAACTCACTATGTAGACCAGGCTGGCCTTGAACTCACAGAGATCTGCCTGCCTCTGCCTCCCGAGTGCTGGGATTAAAGGCGTGCGCCACCACACCCAGCTTGATTTTATTTTTATAGTTAAAAAGAAGGGCTCAGAGCTGGAGAGATGGCTCGGTTAAGAGCATTGGCTGCTCTTGCAGAGGACCTAGGTTCAATTCCCAACACCCACATGGCAGCTAACAACCACCTATAACTCCAGTTCCAGGGGATCTGATGCCCTCTTTTGACCTCCATGGGCATTGCATGATATGGGTACATTTACATACATGCAGGCAACACACTTAAACACATAAAATAAAAACAATAAAATATTTTAAAAGAAGGGCTTATTTGACTGTGGTCCCAAGTGTAGAAGCAGCACTTGGAAGTTCCTTTCCTCCCGGTGCTCTCCCCACACCCACGTGGCAGATTTGGTAAAGTGCTAGTTAGGCTGGATCTTGTTTGCCTCCACTCAGCCGTCTTTGTACAAATCCAGGGGTCATAGAGTTTGTTTTAGGGGGATTTTTAAAATATTTTGTTATGACTTAATTGCACATGTATGTGTGCGGGTTTATGCACATGAATGCAGCTGCCCTTGGAGACCAGAAGAGGGTATGGGATCCTTGAAGCTGGAGTTACAGGCTGTTGTGAGCTGCCTGATCTGTGCTGGGAACAGAACTCAGGCCCTCTGCCATAGCAGTCATGTGCTCTTTTTAATTTTATTTATTTATTTTATGTCATGTATTGCCGGCATATAGGTAAGTGCACCCATGTCGTGCAAAGCCAGCAGAGGCCAGAAGAGGCTGTCAGATCCCCTGGGACTGGAGTTATGGACAGTTGTTAGCTGCCATGTGGGTGCTGGGATTCAAACCCGGGTCTTCTGCAAGAACAACCAGTGTTCTTAACCATTGAGCCATCTCTCCAAGCCCCAATCATGTGCTCTTAACCAATGAACCATCTCTCCAGCTCCCAGGGGGATGTTTTATCCTGTATTTCTCTATCTTTTCCTCTTTTTTTTTTAAATATGTAAGTTTTTGACTAATGTTCATGAACACTTGGATTTCAAACTGTGACACTAATTAAAAGAAATCCTGTCTAAGAGCATACATTCCTTTCCAGAGTTGTGTCATACCATCCTTTGGGTCTTCTGCTGGAAAAGTAGAATCCAATCTCAATGCCTTTTAAATTGTGTCTTTTAAATTGCGTCTTCTAGTATAGATGTAGGACAGTACCATATCATACCTCTGAAGTGAAATACCTTGTGTCTGCTTTATGAAACACAGTGGAGAGAATGCTTTATTAGAACTATTTTTAATATTGTTAGCCTAGAATATTCTTTCCAGATGATTATTGAAAAGCTAAATTTTTAAATGATTCCAGGTACCACAGCAGTAACAGAAAAGGGGGGGGGTAATCAATAATTTTTGCTATTTCTACTCTTACTAATTTGGAACTACAATTACACATGCCCTCTACCCAATGGCGTCTCTCACCTGTCCTTATTGGATTCATCAGTACCAGGCTTTTCTAGCCTGTGTCAGTGGCCCCTGGACTTCACTGAAACTATTTGGATTACGTGCATTAGCAACTTGGGAATGTAATTATCTTTTCCTCTCTCATAATGTCTGGAAACTTTTAATACCTGTGCCTCTCTCGTGCTTTGTTCTTACCTTTAGAGTGTCAAATGTACACACTTTCAAAAGCAAATTTGATGTTTCCCTGAACTCAGAGCGTTTGAAAAGTTTAGAGTTAAGGCTATCATTCAAGCCCCCTCCCCCCTTACTGGGCCAGAATTGTTAACTTTTGGCCAATATGACTGGCTGCTGTTTCTTTTGTGTGTGTCTCTGACTGGCAAACTTCAAATGTAGGGTGGTGGGGTTTTTGTTATTGTTGTTCTGTTTTTATCAGATAAAAAGACTGAAAAATTCTCCAAAAAGTCCTCATTTTTCAACATGCTTGCTTGCAGTCAGTTTTCTTAGACTGACAGACTGTTATAAATTGAATACTGATGCTGGGTCATGAAACTGCAGATAGGAAAGAACAAACCAGGGCTAAGGAGGGTGGTTCAGTTTAAAAAAAAAAAAAGTGTTTATCATGCAAGCATGGGTTTGGGTCCTTAGCAACCATGGAAAAAGTCTAGCACGGGAGCAGTTTCCTACATGTAATCCCAACACTGAAGGGGCAGAGACAAGAGAGAGCCCAGAAATGGCTATCCAGCCAGTTTAACTGAATACGTAAGCTCCGGGGTCAGTGAGAGAAGAGACTGTCTCAACAAATACGGTGGAGAGCAGCTGAGGAAAACACGTATTAGTGACTCACCTTGTTTTCTACTAAATACCTGAAAAAAGCAGCTTATAGATGAAGAGAGATCAACAAGATGGCTCAGCAGGTAAAGGCACTTGCCCCCAAGCCTGGTGATGACCTGAGTTTGATCCAGAACCCATATGGTTGTGCTCTGATCTCCACACTTGTGCCAAACACACGGGCATGCACGCATGCACGCACACACCCAGGCATGCACACATGCACACACATAAATGTAAAAAATGTTTTTTTTTTTATCTTCCATCTGATTTATTGCCAAATATACATTCACATATCTATATACATATATAGAGATGTGTGTGTGTGTGTTTGTTTGTGAGTGTAATTTCTATGAGAATGACAAATAATATTAGGTAAAAAATTTAAAGAAGAGTTCTCTTTGGCTCACAGTTGGGCACCGTCCAGGGCAGTCATAGGAGCAGGAGCTCGAGGCAGCCCTGGTTTGTTCTTTCCTATCTGCAGTTTCATGACCCAGCATCAGTATTCAATTTATAACAGTCTGTCAGTCTAAGAAAACTGACTGCAAGCAAGCATTTTGAAAAATGAGGACTTTTTGAGAACTTTTCAGTCTTTTTATCTGATAAAAACAAAACAATGATAACAAAACATTGCATCCTTAGACAGGAATCAGAAAGTGATAAATGCTTGTACTTGGCTCCCTTTCTCCTTTTTATTCAGTCAGGGACTCCCGTCCATGGAATAGTACCACCCACATTTGGGTCTGTCTTCCCACCTTGAATAACTTAATCAAGATGAACCCACACAGGCATGCCCAGAGATTTGTTTCCATGGTGAATGTCCATCGTCAAATTGACAATCAAGGTTAACCATCACAACACCTGGTATCACCCTCTGGCCTCCATACACACCGTATGTATGCATACCATGCACACGAAATATGCATACCCACACACCAGAGAGAGAACAAACCTAGGGCATGTGCTCCCTGGAGATGTGAAGCCTATCCAGAATACTCTAACATCCTTCTCAAAAAATGTTCTGATCTTTGGAGGAACTTGCTATTAGCGATAATGAAACTTAGGCCATCATTTCCTTCTCCTCAGTTAAATGTGATTAACTTAGATGATCAACTTCAGCTTTTTTACTAGGCCAAAAAAGATTTTTAAATTAAAAATAAAACTAGAGTTCTTATAAATACAGATTCTGGGCCCCACTCTGGATTGTTCAAAGTTGTCCTGGGATCTTGGCTCTTTTTAAAGCTGCTTTAGAAATATTAATGCCAGCTGTTCTTAGAATTGCAAGACAGGCAGACTTCTAAAGCTCTTTCTAACTGCAGTCTTTAAATTCACGAATTCTAAAACCTGGGTAATGGGGTTAGAGAAATGGCTCATCGGGTAAGAGCACTGGCTGCTCTTCCAGAAGACCCAGGGTTGGTTCTCAGGACCCACATGGCAGCTCACAACCATGCTAACACCAACTCCAGGGACTCCAAAACCCTTTTCTGGCCTCCATGAGCATTGTACACACATGGTGCTTTTACATACATGCAGGGAAAACACTCATGTACGTAAAAATAAATTGAGAAAAATTAAAACCTGGGTACTTTCCTTTAGGGCTTGGAAGATGAAAAAGAGGCCTCTGAGAACGAAACAGACATGGAAGATCCCAGAGAGATCCAGACTGACTCCTGGCGTAAGAGGAGAGAGAGTGAGGAGCCCTCATCTTCCCAGTCACTGTGTCACCTCGTATCCCCAGCTCTGGGACACGAGAGGTCTGGCTGTGAGACCCCTGTCAGTGTGGACTCTATCCCCCTGGAGTGGGATCACACAGGTGATGTGGGGGGCTCTTCCTCTCATGAAGACGATGAGGAGGGCCCATACTACAGTGCACTGTCAGGTAATGGCCAGCTTCCCGGAGCCTGTGAACTTGACCCATTTGGCTGTGTTTCTAGCACCATAGCCAGCTTGCAATGACCCAAAGTCCAGCTGGTGGCTGGTGCAGGCTTGTGGCTTCCTGTGTCCTGTCCTGCCCATCTCCTGACCCACCTGAGAACATTACAGGTGGAATGAAATTCACATTCCAATGTTAGGGTTGTTCGCTGATGGCTCTAGCCAATGGGAGACACATCAGTTAACTTTTCTGTTTATCAGAATTTATTAGTAGATTGAATATAGCCATTCTATGTCTGCTTTCCCCACCACTGCAACAGTGATTGAAAAAAAATCCTCTGATTTTCAAAATTCTTTTAATGCAAAAGATAACGAGTAATTAGGTTTCTCTCCCAGCTGGCAATGTTTCTGCTGCATTAACTTACTACGTGGGTGTGACTCGGCAGGCACCTTCAGTGAGGACGATGACGTTATTCTTTTTCAGATGTAGAAATCCCTGAAAATCCTGAGGCATATCTTAAAATGACCACAAAATCTTTGAAAGCATCTTCTGGTAGGCCCCTGCCCGTGCATGTGTCTCAACATGGCCGCATCCCATGGCGCACACTGCATCCTAAACCTCGCTCCCGTGTCATGTCTGACCTGTGCCTTCTGTGGACACCATGCGCCTTGGTCCTCGTGTCATGGTGTATTTCCACTGCTGTACTCACTCATACCTGCGTGCTTCTTTCAAGCCCCACCCCACCCCAGAGTGGGGCGCCACGCCCTCACTCCCCTCCCCCATCGGCCCTGCAGAAGAAATTTTTGTCATGTATGCCTTTAATTACTTTTCCTCCATCTAACTCAAGTCCTTGGGCCTGGGCCAAGCTTTCTTCATGGTGGCTTGGTTTAAAACTTATTTCCCTGCTCCTGGTGATTTCTGGGATGGAGACCAGTAGGTGGCTAGGGGTAGAAATAACTGCTGCCCTTGCCACAGCAGAAGAGACCCCTCTTTTCTTGAAGCATCAGTCTTTATTCTCCGACTGGCCCCATCTGTGGTGGGAGGAGGGCAAGCCACCGGCAGCTATTTTGTTCCCAAGTTTATCTTCACAGTCACTCCTTCCCTCACTCGTCAGGTCTTCTGTCCTCTTGGCTCCTAAGACCTCGCCTTGTTGCCCAGTGTCCCTACCACTCAAGACACCAACCCCATCCAAAATGCCTCCCATCCCGCAGCACTTATGTTTGTTGTGCTCCGCTGTGGCCCCATCTCATGACAGCGCAATGTCGCTCAGTTGCATGACTCATTTCATTCCCTCTTGAGACATACTGACATTTTGCAAACATGCATGCTTTGCAAGGAAAGCTGCAGAACTCATTTTGATACTTTAACCTGATGCCATGTCACCTGTGACCATTATTTTTATGTCACTGAATAGGTATCCTTTGGTGAGAGAGTTCACCTGTAATTTGTGTGATGCTTTGTTTCAGGGAAATCCATTTCTGAGGGCCACTCATGGCACATACCAGATAGCCCTTCCTGTCCCAAGCATCGCTACAAACAAATGGAAGGTGATAGGACCGCAGCACCTCTCCCCTCAGATTCCAGCACCCCTTACAAACCAGCCTATGTAAGTCGTGACCCTTTGGGAATACACCCAGGATCATGCTCATTTCCTGTCTCATGTTGAGTTGTTTTTCTCATGGTTATGTGATCTCTTCTAAGGGACCTAACTGGGATGAGGGGAGGAAGGAGCTCAGTTATAGAGCTTGCCTAACGTGCTCAAGGCCCTGGGCTGTCTTCCTGGCACCACCATAAAAACCAAGCCCCCTGCTGAACTGTCCATCCTTCATTAGAACCCAGCAAATGGACTACATTTTAATTTCTAGCCCTAAACTTGTCTTTGTGTGTGCTGATAAGGATCTAGTAAGAACTATTACCATTAGAGGCACTTACTCTTGTAAATAAAGAGGCAGAGTACTGGCCTTCCTGAGCTGCACATCTGCTACCAGAGCTTTATCATATTTGCTTTTTGGCCACATGTCTTATGGAGGCAGGGGACTTCATATTCTGATTTGGTGATGTGTGGTAAAGGATGCAGGTTTGGCTCCCAAGTCATGACTGTGGAACATGCAGTTCTCTGTGAGTCTTCCTCACCTAGTAAACCTGCTTTACACAATAGGATTAGCATGGGTACAGGTAAGAAGCCCTCAGAAGAGGTGGGCCTTATTAATATAGTATTAGGGTACTTATTACAACTGTTGCTCCTCAGTTATGTGAGGTATGCTCTGGTGAGGCAGTCAGTGGAAACAGGTTAAAGTTGGCCATAGCTCATTGTTAGTACGGAGAATTAATGATGAGGGAGTTCACTTGTATTTCAGTGTCACAAGCATCTTTCAGAGAAACCCACAGCTGTGGAAGGGGAGTGCCAGTGGATTTAGTCAGTGTTCTCTGTGCCTAGGGGTGAATTACTGCTATATAATTGGAGACAGTTTTTTCTTTACCTGGTCAAATTTGGCAGAGAGTTGGCTGTGCTCAGTTCAGAACTCTTCCTCTTGCTTAGCAGACATATGTCACTTTTCCTCTCTCCATCTCCACTGCAGCATAAGACTGAGGAAAGAGACCCCAACCCCAGCCCCTCCTCATACCCTGTACCTGTGTGGTTCAACTTCTTCAAGGCCTTAGGCTTACATTCTTCACCCGGCCAGTGTTAACAGCTCAGCTCTTACTGTAGATGAAGCCATGCATGCTGCCACAAATCGGAAGGAATTTCATTTTTCCCATTCCATACAAAGAAACTAAAGACAGCACAGCTTTTCTAAATAGTACATTTATTTCCGGAAAGGCCCAAGATAATAGTGCAGTCAGCTGTGCAGTAGCAGAAGCGTCACTATGTACATTAAAGGATAAATGCTTGGTAATGAATGACCCAGGGAGGCAGTGGAGCCTCTGTGTTTCCCATTCACAGAGATGAAAATACCAGCCAGCTCAACAGAGTGAAACAGAGGGGTAGGAAAACTTTGTAAAGCACTGTGTGAAGGTGTAAAAGCTTGGCTATAGGGGCTAACTAGTAAGCTGGATGGTCATCTTTAACTGTTTTTGCATGGAAAATGGTAGAAAGGCTACAAGTGACACAGGCCATTTTATTCCTATCATTGACATGTCATCTACTTCCCTGGGCTGTTCCTGAGGCCTGCTTTCTCATCTCTGCTTGCTTATAAATGTTCATCACGCACAAAGATGCCTCTGTTGCAAGCCAAGCTACCTTTCAGTGGGGAAGACCCCACACCCTTTTTCTGGCCTGTTTCTATGAACCCAGTTGTTCTTTAGGTAGCTTTTCAACTTTACAGATGGTAACCTAAAAACTGGCTCATTCCAGGTAAAGCTGTTGTTACGTCAAGGCACTGGTGATGGTAAAGAAGGCCTAAGAGGCTCCAAGGACAGCCCCCAGCGGGAAGATGAGCAGCTGGCTCCCTTAACAGGACAGCAGTCAGGTACTGCCAAATGGGCAACCCTTAGGAGAGGTGGAGCTTGGCATTTGGGTCTACCTGAATGTTTAAGTCATTGCTTGATAGACCATTAATTAGACATCAGCCCAATCACATAATTCACCAAAGCCGTTGAATGTACCCCACAATGGCTAATGTTACTTTCAAATGTGCCAATTTGTATTTATGAATTAATCCTTTAGCTTCTCACTTTCAGTTGAAAACTGTTCTTTCTTATGGTTCTGGGACCTAGTAAACAAGTGCTTTACCACTGACCTGTGTCCCTAGCCCTTTGGAAATTCTTCTTTACACATTGGTAAAAGGAGCTTCATAAGTTAAAGTGCATGTTTTAATGACTTCCTGTGTGTATGAAAACCAGACACAAAAGTGATGATCAAAGGCCTCGTCTCCATTGTCTCATGAGACGAGTCCAGCAATTACCAAAGCAACTGCTCAGCCAAAGGCAAGGTAGAGCTGATCACATTGTCCTGATCATTTGTGGATCAAAACAGCAACACAACCAGAAATGCTGGGCTTGAGGTCAGAGCACATATTAGCCACAGGCTGGGTTTCTTGACCCTCTTTCCCCACCTCCTTCCAGCCTTCATGGGAGTGGATTGGGACAGGCTGTGGATCAGAGAAGGGAAACATGCCTTGCTTATTCCAGAAAAGAGAACTCCCCAGCCCCAGATCCTCCTGCAAGGATCCTCCCCTACCGACTTGCACCTGACCACTCATAGCTGCAGACAGGGAAGTCTGCTCGGAGTTCCTGCTTCCTTTAACTGGCGGCTTGGGATTCCAGGTACCTTTGACAGATGGGAGCTCATTCAAGCACAAGAGCTTCACAGCAAACTCAGAATAAAACAGAACGTGCAGCAGCTGAATTCTGATATCAGTGACATCACTGCTTGGCTGGAAAAAACTGAAGAAGAACTCAAAGCTTTAAAGATGGCAGAGCGTCCCTCCAGTATCCAGGAAATGGCAGTCAGGGTGAAGAGACTGCAAGTGAGTGGGAGATGTGGAGGGGAGAGGAGTTGAGAGCAGGCATGTAAATGCACTATAGTGTTGGACAATTGGATCTGATCTGGGTTTGGGGTAGCTGGCAGCATGCAGCTGGGGTGTGTAGAGTTCAGTATCTTCTACTTCACTGTGGACCCAGATGCGATTTCTGTTTTCACATGAGAGTACCTACAGGTGATCCTCCAAACCAGAGGGGCACTGGGAAGATGTGATTCAGATCCTCCAGGCTGGAAGGATCTGGCTTTTAGATTCTTAGGGGAATGATGGTGGCAGTGCCAGGCACATAAAGCCAACCTTCTCACCTCCATGCAACAGTTCCTCACAAGACTACTGATGTGAGGGGTTTAGGCTGGGAGGACTTGCTTACCCACTGATGAATCCTATGGCCTGACCTAGCTACCCCATGATACAGTTAAGATTTGTCAACCATGTAATCAGCCCAGGACCTTAGGCACCAGCTTAGGAAGCAGGGGAGGGACAGTTTGAACCCTGCATATAAACATGCATGCTTAAGACCCAGAGCAGGGATCTTTGTGCTTTTCCTTTGAATATTAATATGTGAAGGTCACCATTCTGCCTAAGGAATAACAGTTCTGGGTTAGCCTGAGGCAGATGTAGAATAGCTGCATATTCTTTATCTGGGAAACTTTCAGTCCTATACAGAAATGTTACTAAGCCAGTGGCAGAGAGGGGACTGGAGGTCAGTGGGGTCTTTTCATGCCTCTGGTCAAGCCTGTCAGCCAGGAGGCAGGCATCTGACTCTCAGACTGTGCCATCCAGCTGGCCAAGTTCACTAACCTTGTAAGGCAGCTCCCTCACCTGATGCTTCCCAGCCACTCACAGGCGAGGTCGCTCTTGCTCCCTGGCCGAAGCTTGGAGAAGTATGAAGGAGATCTGTCCCTTACAGAGACGATCAAAATGAGTCCCTTTTCCCTGTTGCCAGAACGCCTAACCCAGACTGTTCTCTCCATGGTAGGAGATATTAAAAGCCTTTGACACCTACAAGGCCTTAATGGTTTCTGTCAACAAGAGCAGCAAGGAATCTCTGCCCACCGAGAGCAACGAATCCTCAGAGCTCCAAAGTAGGCTCCACCAGCTGAGCCTGCGCTGGGAAGCAGTCCAGGGCATGATGGACAGCTGGAGAGGGGACTTACGACAGTCACTCATGCAGTGCCAGGTATGTTGATTCAGCTCAAGGCCCTGTCCCTAGCAGCAGCCAGGCCCACGTGGTGGGAGCAGCAGATATTTTTACCATCATCAGGCTGGCTTGAGTTAGGAAGAAAGCTTCCCCCCATCCTCCACCCAGTACCATCATAATGACCTTGTGCTTTCCCAGGATCTCTTAGTCTGTTGCACAAGCCAATAACCCACCCTGGGAGTAAAGGCGGCAGCAAACATGCCAACAGGTTGGGGGTGCTGCCCCTCTCTGTCCTTTTAGTCAGATTCAGAGCCCTGGCCCTGGAACAGAGGAGCACTTTTAACACTTTGGACAAATCGCTGAGCCCCCTGAACCTCAGCATTCCCTTGGGAAACCTGGGACTCATTTGCATGCCTGACTCCCAGGATCATTTTAGGACTAACCTAGGTGGTATATATAATGCTAGGCCACTTCCTGACCCATGTTAAGTGTTCAGTGTGCATTAGCTCTGCACCACCATTTAGCTCTGAACCTGTCTTTGGGAACATGAACCCACCACAACCTGTCCTGTGGGATGGGCTTCCTTAACCATCAAGTCTAGCAAGTGGGTCACATGGTATATATGGCCTTTACATGTAAAACAGTGGAGACAACCTGGAGGCCCTGCTTTCTGACAGTTCAAACCTGATGCCTCTCAGGACTCTGCCAAGTGTGCTTGTTCTCTTGCCTTGGTTGAGTTCCTGGCCTAGCCTAATATTCACTGACTAAGATGAGATGGGCAAGTGACTGATGGGTGAGAGATAAAAAGCTCCCTTCTGGGCACTCCCTCAGCAATGCTCTGATATGGGTTGTTTTGGAAGGACTTTCACCAATTGAGTCAAGACATGCTCCTGTGGCTAGCGAGTGCAGAGAGCCGGAGGCAGAGAGCACATGTCACCGACCCAAAGGCAGACCACCAGGTTCTCCTGGAGTATCAGAAAGAACTGATGGTAAGTTTCTTCTGCATGACTGCTGGCCACCATCAGCTTCCAAGTGTTCAGCAGCTTCACCCAGTATTCTAAGCAGCACAGTGCTGGTGCTGTGAATCATGAGTTCAGCCCCCATGTTCCTTTTGGTGTCTGCCAAGCAACCCTGGGTACTTACAGAGCAGAATGGCTCAGAGAGAGTGAAAGAGCCAAACCAGAACAGGAAGTCTTTAAGACTGTACTTAATCACCAGGCATAGTAGCACACACCTTTAATCCCAGGCAGAGGCAGGTGGGTGTCTGTGAGTTGGAGACCAATCTGGTCTACATAGTGAGTTCAGCGCTATACAGTGAGACTGTCTCAAAAAAATTAAAGACTCTAATGCCTATTATAATTTTTTTTAATTTTTATTTTATGTGTATCTGTGTGTTAAATTTTAATGTATCATAAATGCTAAAGTTATACCATATTTAGGGAACAAGTAAAAAGTCGGTGTTCAGAACAGCTGTAATTTTGTGTTCTGAATATTTTCATCTGTGGTTGATTGACTATGGATACAGGACCTTCAGGCACAGAGGGATGACTAGACTGTTCATTTGGCAGGGGGTGGGAATACGGAGCCCGTGACAGCTGCACGGGTTTTCTATATGCAAGGTAGAAATGTCTTATTTCCTAGGGGTAAGTTGTGTTTCACTAATAAGCCAAGGTAAAACATACACATTCTCCCTTGTATTCAAGGTGACATAAGTGACTTTATCCATAAGTTTATATCTGGTTTGATTTTCAGTATTTTAAATTGCTGGCCATTGCTTTTTTTAAAAATTTTACTAAAATCTTTGTAAAGCTCCACTCCACAGTAGCGGTGCCTAAGAGAGCTTTCCACCGATGGAAATGTTCTGTCTCTGCACTTCAGGTGACTATTACACACTTAAACTGTGACTGGAACCAAATCTTTCATTTTAATTTAAACAGAGCTGCATATATCTAATTGTACTATGTAGCAAGATAACCACCCTTAACTCCAAGTGATTGGCCTGGCACATCCTCCATATAGCTATGTCTCGATTTACCGGCTTCAGAGTTCCCCTGACAATGGTGTATGAGGGCCTGGTCTTTCCACCCCATCACTTCTTTCCTCTAATTTTTCAGCATCATAACTAGAGTTAAACACAGGAATGGAGTACAACCTTCTTGCTCTGTGAACTGAAGCTAGAGACTGGTAGCAATAAGCAGAAGGTTCTGGAGTTGAGCAGTACCCTGAACTTAGAAAGTCTCCTCCAGCGTCACTAGCTTCCCTTGGACAAACATTTTACCTTCTTTTACTTTTAGCAACTAGAAAAGGAGCTGGTAGACCGTCAGCCTCAAGTCAGCTCCTTGCAGCAGCTTTCCTCCAGTCTCCTTGTGAAGGGGCATGGAGAAGACTACATCGAGGCTGAAGAGAAAGTCCACGTAATCGAAAAGAAGCTCAAGCAGTTGCGGGAGCAAGTAGCTCAGGATCTGATGTCCTTGCAGGGAAGCCAGGTGAGTCCACTTGTGGGCTTTCTGTGTCAAGGTGTCGGCAGGCTGCACCCTTACCATGGCAGAGGGGGCAGGTAGTATGTGTGTAGAGGTTCATCCTCTTTCTAGCTATGCAGCTTTACAAAATAAGTTCATAAGCTCCAAGCATGAGTCTTTCATTTGAAAAAGGCAGAAAACCCTATTAGGTTAGGCAAAACAAGTCAAGTCCCTTCGCCACTGCTACGAGTTGAAAACAAGCCTTCACTCTCTCATGACATGGTTTCAGGTCCTCCTCACTGTCCTGCTCCCTCTTTCCTGACTACCCATCTGTTGACTTTCTTCTCCTGAAAATGTGCTACAACTCAGAACAAAGGGAATACCAGACTGGTCTCCCCCAGCTGGAGTAGGACTCTCCCTACTAGAGTCTGTATTTCCTCCTCTATACTCAGGCTAAGTGGTCTTAATGACCATATGAGTGTATCCGTGATATGTGGCGAGTTCACTGTCAACTAGAATCATGAGTTTCTAGAGCAAGTGCCTTGCTTTGATTATATTGCCTCCTGTCTGCAAACATGTGTATATATGGGAGGAAGGAGCAATTAGAACTCTCTTCAATAAAGATTTAAAGTTGGGGAAAGGATGAACTGCTCCTTGAAGAATGCATGAAGCAAAGTTCTGTGCTTTTGAGACTACCTAGAACCTTCTGTTGCCCTGAATTGAACTACTGGGGTGTGGCTTTCAGAATCCAGACCTATCTCTGGCCAGCTTTGATGAAGTAGACTCAGGGGAACATCCTCCAGCAGCCTATGTACCAGCTCCCCACACAAAGGTGAGTACCCTTCCTTTTATGAGAACCACACTGGTATCACTAAAGTGATAAAAACTTGAGACTCCAAGGCCCCATTAGACCTTTCATGACAGCACAAATCTACTTCAACCTGCCGGTCAAGGGAGAAACCTCCTCTAAAAAAATTATTTTAATTACATTATATGTGTGTATATCTACATACATGGCTGCATGTGTGTGACTGCTACAGTGCACATATGGAATTAAAGGACAACTTGTGGGAGTCCTTTTTCTCCTTCCATCATGTGGGTTACAGGGATTGAACGCTGGTCATCAGGCATGGCAGCAGGTGCCTTTACATGATGCGCCCATCTCATCAACCCTAAAAATCTATTTTATTAATTAGTCTTTTTAAGACCTGACTCCAAGTCTCTCTCCTAGTCAATTACTTTTCTTTGGGATCATAGTAAGTTGTGAAGGATAATGGCCCCTGTTAAAGGGATTTCCAATAAATCAGATCAATAAATGGGACCATGAACCTCTCTCTTGATGGTTTAACAAACCCAATCATCTCCTACTTTGTCAAGTTAAATCATACATGACTCTAGTCCTAAAAGGGTGACAAAAAAATGACCTGGAGCGCTGGGTAGCTAACCCATAGAAGGTCATAGTGCATCACTGGCTTCTTTGTTCCAGCAGTTCGGAGCAGAGAGAACTACAGAAGAGGAGAACGAGACTGACAGGTAATGGCATGGCAGTCCCCAGGGTCCCCAGCACTGCTGTGCTGATACCACCAACCAGGTTCTTGTAAAGCACTGCTTTCTTGTTTTCTTTCACCTGGAAAGGACTGTGCTCCTCTTCCAAAAGTGAACCCAAGCTGTCTCAGTTCCTTTTCTGTTACTGTGACAAAACACCCTGACCAAAGCAACAAAAGAAGGGCTTATTTTGGCCCACAGATCAAGTACTCATGATGGCAGAGCTTGCAGCAGGGGGTCACCTTGTGCCTACATTGAGAAGCAGAGGGAGATGAAAGCTGGTACTCAGCAAGCTATCTCCTTTTTTCACAGTTAAGGACCTAGTCCATGAAATAGTGCTGCCCACCTTTAGAGCTGGTCTTCCCACCTCAGTTTACCTAATCTAGATAATCCCTCACAGGCATGCCCAAAGGCTTGTCTCCTAGGTGATTGATTCTAAGCCCTGTCAAGTTCATAGTGTTGACCATCACACCAGCCATCAGCCCATTTGAATCTTTTTGTTGATTTGTGGGGTTGGTTGGTTGGTTGGAGACAGGGTCTCCCTGTAGCCCCAACTGACCTGGAACCTGCTATGGAGACAAGGCTGGCCTTGATCTCACAGAGATCTGCCTGGCTCTGCCTCCCGAGTGCTGGGATTAGAGATACATACCACCACGCCTGGCCCATTTGAATCCTTCATCCCAGGGTCCTGTATTTCTTTCTATAGGTAGGTGGCCAGAAAGGTGGGTGGTGGCTCCTCTGAACCCTCCTAATGGGCTCTCCCCTGACTCTGTCGACAGGATGCCCCACCTCACAGACCCTGGTAGTTCACAGCCAAGGCGCTCCTTCTTCTCAAGGGTGATCAGGGCAGCGCTGCCCCTGCAGTTGCTGCTCCTCCTGCTGCTGCTCCTGGCCTGCCTGCTGCCTGCCTCCGAAGAAGACTACAGCTGCACCCAGGCTAACAACTTCGCCCGCTCCTTCTACCCCATGCTGCGGTACACCAACGGGCCGCCTCCCACCTAGAGGGCTCCACCAGCTGCAGTGCCATACCAACAGCCTGTTGACTCCTAGCCTTGGCAAGATCCAGAGACTTACTGCAGACATGGCCCTCCAGGCATGTCCAAATGGACTCTAGAAGCCAAGGACAGCTGTGAAAGGATGTTCGTCTACTGGAGCGGAGAACAGATGCAGCAGGGCCTGGCATTCAAAGCTAGCAGATTAGTTAAGGAAAGGGGAGCTTCTTGAGGAGCAACGCACTTTGAATTCTGACCTGTTTGTAAAAGAGAGTTCTTCTGTCCTTGAGCAATGGTGTTCCGCACATAAACCGTATTTGAGAAATAGATTCCCACTTTAGTCATGGTTCAAAAACTGCTCTGAGCTTACTGATTCAGATTTTAAATGTTTAGAATCAGTTTTTCTCCAATCAGCTAGCAGTCTGAGCTCTGTTAAACCAAAATGTTCTGTTCAATACCTAGGCAGGCTCTTTTATATTGATTTAAATTTTTTAAAGAAATTTTATTGCATGGATATGGTTATTTGTGCATATTTTTAAACAATGCTGGATCTGTATGAATAATGTAAACTTTGATTTTTTTAAAAGATGAAACATTTTGGCTTGAGCTTTTGACTAATGTACAGTAAATGCCAAACCACAGACTTGATAGAGATGTTTTTGTAAGTTAATTTTGTAAGACTTTTCACGTTGAAAGAGATGCTTCAGGTCTGGTTGAGCTGTTTGGCCACCGGAGGTTGGTACAGAAACTTGAAGCTATTTGTGGTATGTACAATGCAGATGTTTCCCATTAAAGAAAAAATTAACTAGATTGTTGTGCTGGACTCTGTTAGAAGACAGGACATACTTGGTCTTCCAAAATTTAATTGTAACAAAAATTATGTGTACTTAGATCCCCTGGAGTACAGGTGGTTGTAAGGTACACAATGTGGGTGCTGGGAATGCAGGTTTTCTGGAAGAAAAGTACATACTCTCAACCACTGAGCTCTCTCTCAGCCCTAACAAAAATTGAAAAAACAAAACAAAACTTTGGAGGGACTTTTGATTCTATTTATATTCCACCTAGAAACAACTGGAGTGAGCACCTTTCTCTGTGTATTGTCTCATTACTGTGATATAATGCCTCACAAGGGGGGGTGGGGAGGAAGGGTTTATGTTGGCTCACAGTTCAAGGATGTGGGAAGTCACGGTGGCAGGAGCTTGAGAAGGCATCTGGTCACATTACCTCCACAGTCAGGAAGCAGGAGAATGCTGGTCCTTAGCTCACGTTCTCCTTTTTGTTCAGTCCAGGAGGCCAGCCCATCCAATGGTGCTGTTCACAGTTCAGGTGGGTCTTCCCACCTCAGTTAACCTAGTCTAGATAAGCCCTCGTATGCCCCAAGGTTTGTCTCCTAGGTGACTCTAGATCCTATCAAGTTGACAGTACTAACCATCATATGTAAATAGCTTAGCATATATTGTCAAGTGCTGGAAGGCAAAGCTAAGGGTGGACAGGTGGGATCATTTCACCTAATTTTTTCTATTCTTGGCATGAATTACAAATTGTTTCTCTCTTACCCAAAATGCATATGACTTAGACATACTTTTGGTTGCAGAAGTTTTTTGATTTACATATATGTAATGAGAGATCTGGGGATAGAACCCAAGTTTAAACACGAAATTCATTTATGTTTCATGTATGCCTCATCCATATACACTGAAGGTCATTTTATACAATGTTTTTCGTCATTTTGTGCATGAAACAAAGCTTCATGGTACAGACCATTCCAGTTGTGGCATTTGGACAGTTTTGGAGTCAGCCGTGGTGGCACACACCTGTAATTTTAGCACTCAGGAGACTGAGGCAGGAAGATGGGAGTTTGAGACCTGCCCTGTTTGGAGGAAAAAAAAATTTTTTTTAATGGGGGATATTCAACCTGTAAGAGCTGCCTCATGATAGAAGCAAAGCCTCCCGCTTGCATTCATTTCCACACTGCTCCCACTAAGCAAGGTGAGCCTCAGCACTTCTTCCTTGATTGAAAGGTGTGGACTCAGTGCCTCATCTGCGTCTTTAGCACCTGAGGCAGTAATGACCAGGGTGCAATCTCACACCTACCCCCTTTTCTCTGCAAAGCACACATGTGGGTGGCAGGTGAGGCCAGTGAAGCCCATCAGTATATGGTGTCCAACCCTGAGGTCCCCAATGGGTCGTACATTCACACTTGTGCAGTTACCCAGCAGCTTGTCCAGGGGCCATTTGAAAAGTGTTTTTACTTACTATCAGCATTTGAAGTTCCCAAATTATTAAACTGATATGAGGAAAATGGTCAATTTTTCCCCACCATAACTTCAATTATTTTACCTTATTAAAATAATTGATCTTGTTTTATGGCTTACAGTAGTTTGAGATATTTTTAAATCAAAATATTACAACTTTTTCCTTAAGCCACTAGTTGCTTCAAGTTGTTTCCATGTTAGTCTGGGGCAAGTGGCAGAATCTATCTCCCTCCCCCATCTTCCACTCCAAATAAGGTGTTTCAAAGGCCTTTTCTATCCTTAAGGAACACTAAGGTGTATCAAAGTATTGATTACATGTTAATGCCTAATTATGTAAACTGTTTATGGGCATTTCTTCAATATAAAGACTTTTGAGTCTTGGGTTTACCTAAGACACAACCCCATCCCCAGGTAAGTACCTTTGTCCTCCTTCACCCGGAACCCAGAGTAGTCCCCCAAACCTTGTACAAGATAATTCAGGATTTACACTGTTGTATGCCAACTCTTGTATCTTTCTTTCCCCTACTTGTAGGGGGAAGTTTTCAAATGACTATGCATGAAAATAACTTCAGTATGAATGACTTTTCACCCCATCTCTGAGGGGTATAATACTAGTTGACTCAGATGGTATAATTATAGAAAATCTACCCAAATGACTGATTCACTGCATATCAGGACTTTTACATCTATACATGATGCCTGAAGTCATAAGGAATAGGTTTCATAGGAAACCTAGGGTTGAGGGGGTTAATAACTCCTTTGAAATGGCAAACAAGTGTTTGTTTCTGTTCCCTCTCCTGGGAAGACTATTGTTTTCAACAGTGTAAACCCCAAAAGGATAGAAAATCAGACACTGCTTACCTCAATAACTAAGTTCTTTCTACTCAGCTGCCAACAAATAACATTTTTACAATCCTAATTATGAAAAACTTTATTTGCATCACATTAAACTCATTGCAATAGTTCTAAAGCTATTCAAGGGACAGTTAGGAGGAATGGAGATTCTCAACCTCTACTCTCACACAACATCAAGCATTCTTTTGTTATTTTTGCTTTTGTTTTTTGTTTAGCCCAGTCTGGCCTCAAACACATAGCAAGCCTCCTAAGTGATGGGATAATAGGTATAAGCCACCACACTCAACTCAAACATTTGTTTCTTAGGAGGCCCACATTTTAAAGCTGGGAGTCAACAAATTAGTCTAATAGTACAAGTTATCTGTCTGAAAAAAAAATGACAAATTATAGTCAACCAACAGGCTCAAAGTACTCAAGACCACTGAGTGATAAATAGGACCAGGACACATGGCACTCAGGCTCCACACATGGAAAAATGATGAATGGCATTGGTGGTACAGTCACCAGGAACTGTTCTAGGCTAGCAAGCTTCTGTCCTTCACAAAGAAACCCACTCTTAAAATTGGCTGGCAAGTGAATAGGATCCTTGGAATTCTTTTTAAGATCCCTGACTCCAACAACAAAAAGACGTGAAGATGATTATGCACACGGAAACAACTGCGCATCTTAGAGTCGCCACTAGAGTCAAATTCCAGGAATTTGAGAGCTATAAAGAAAAATTGGCATGTAGGTCACCAAACTCCACAGGGAAGTAACAGTGCTTAAAGAGAATTAGACATGGGCAAGTTTCAAGGAATGTGTGTGGCTCTGAAACAATGGGGAAAGCAGTACCAGGGACTGATAGCGATCTGCTAACCAGAACCCAAGATGGGGGGACAGAAAGTGACTGGTCTCGTTCCTGCCTGTCACTGCTCCTGCTCAGCAAGATGAGAAGGTAAGATGGAAAGGAACAGTAGAAGGCAGCCAAGACCTAACCAGCCATCACACTGACACTGCTAGCAGGGACAAGTCAGACAGACACACAGAAGGCTTGAATTCCAATCCAGCCTTGACCATAAGTAATTTTATGACCTTGAGCAAATCAACTGGTCCCTCTGAGCTTTAATTTGCACGTGTACAAATTATGGATTTAATCTCTATGTCAGAAATGTGCAGGCTATTACTGTGTCTCCCAGAGTATTGTGGGTGCTAAGCATGTGGGGTTTCATAGGTAGGTCTGACTTAAACCTTAGCAGAACTGCTTGGTAAATAGATTCTGCTGTTTAAGAATGATTTTTCTTGGACTCAATAGTAGAGTGCAAAAAAATAAAATTTTAAGACAACTTTTTTTTTGCAGTGCTAGGAAGCAAACACACGACCTTGCACGTACTAGGCGAGACCTCAACACTGAAGCTGCCTTTGTAAGCCATATTGTTCTAAAACTGGCTGAAATGCATGGTCACTTTCAGCATTGGACTTGAATTGACCATGTTCAGCTCTGTCACTTGTTCTATGTGACCTTGAGCAACTTTGCTTAGATTCCTAAGCTTCTACAGCTGGACTATTAAGATAGAGTAGTCATAATTATTATGAAAATTAAATGTGAAAGTGTGAGGCACTGAAAGCTGTGTCTGGCACAAATACTATTTTTACATGCCAGATGGCATGTTTTTATGCTTTTGTAACCTTTACTATGTCTTTTTTAGGATTTCTAGAAGCTTAAAGAAGTGTATCAAGTCTTATTAAATATAAATACTTGGTTTCAAAATAGAGCTAGAAACTGAGGGTTTGCCTTGACTTCAAGAAGGTGCAAGCCCCTCTGTAGATGTAAATCAAAACCAATCTCTAGTTTCGTATGCTAGAAAATTCTAGAAATTCTAGAAATTCTTCGACCTTGCCACATATGGCCATTCCAGAATTGCTAACTTCTTCCTTAATGAACTCTAAAATAACTGGCATTCCAACTGAGTGAGCTCCAACTGAAGTAATCCAGATCAGGACTGTCTCATAAAGCTTTGATTTGCACAGTTTTGTCTTTTAAATGGCTAAGACTTTCTACATGTGCTGCATTATATTCTCACCTTAGAATTTAAAGGGAAAAAGAAGTCTCTTTAGGGTTAGTCCTTAGGCCTGCTGACAAGCCTGAGGATAAATAGAAGCAGTGAAAAGAGACATTTGTTTAAAACAAATTACTATGTAGGTCCCCTGGGATTGTCCTTGCCAACCCTCCTTAGGGACAGCCAGTTCACACCCAGGAATCTGTTAGAACTCTGTGTTAAGGATATTTCATGGTGATCATTTTATCAACTCGGGATTTAGAATTAAGCCCAAAGCTCACTCATCTGCAAATAAATTTCTCAAATGATCACTGACAGATTCAAACAGAAGAATCCTGTCCTGCCAGTTTAAGGAAGAACTGAGGATCATTGCTCTATATGTCAAATGTAGCTCTATTTTGTTCGATAATCTAATTCCTGTTCACAGTTGTCAGGTCCTATTCATCCTGGTTAATTCTTTTTAAAAAAAAAAAAAAAGGCGAGGGGGAGGGGGTGGTGGCTGGAGAGATGGCTCAGCGGTTTAGAACATTGAGTGTTCTTGCAAAAGACCTGGTTTCGAATCCCAGCACCCACATGGCAGCTAACAACTGTCTGTACTCCAATTCCAGGGGATCTGACAGCCTCTTCTGTTCTCAGACATTGCACGACACAGGTGCACTTACCTACATGCAGGCATAACACTCATACACATAAAATAAAAATAAAATATTTTTTAAAAAACTGAACTTGAAAACATTGAGATTCATGCTTAGCTATGAGAGAACTCAAATTGTCCTAAAAAAACGTGAACTATTTGGGAAGAATAGTTGCCCCCCAAAAGATAACATTTAAAGGAAACCACTATGAACTAAAGAGAAATGAGCCACCTTTAAAATGGACATGGAGGGTTTTTTCAACATATTGAAAACAAAATCAAGTCTCCTTATGGGCAAAGATATTAGCACGTTACCTGAAAGGGTGCTCAAAGTGTAGATTGTATTATCTCAACCACCCACTTGCCTTAGAGCCTAATCAAAAACAAGTCCCCAAGAAGCCTCAGGTAGGGCTAACCTGTGTCCCTAGCATATCCAGAGATCTGAGCCAAAAAGAAATGGCACAGCATGCTACATTCTCCTGGACTGAAACCAAATGCCGAGAAATAAGCAGCCCTGAGAAGGAAGCAGGAGAACGTGTGGAAAATAACTAATGTGCTAGGTGTGGTGGCACATGCCTACCATCTCAGCTCCTGGCAGGCTAAGGAATGGAGAACTGAGAGTTCAAGGCTACCTCCTGATCACTGAAACTTGCACTTATCTACGCACACATAGGACTTGACACAAAAGTGTGTGACCCCCTGAATTTAAACTGATCCCTTCCTTAGGTATCAAAATCCAACCAAAACCCTCACTGTGTACTCATTAGACAACGACTTGAAACTCATTCTGATTTTTCCTTTTGTTTTTCTTATCTGACAGTCTCTTAAAATTTTTGTAAATAGAATTTCACTGACAATTTTTCAAGGTTGCCTTTGCCTCCCTCTTCCTGCTCTCCAACCTCCCCTACCTCTGTTTACATGGGAGACTAGGCTGGAGAAAGAAAACTGACCTTGTGAATAACACTGGTTCCCTACTTTGAATAAGCTCAAGCTACAGAAAAACTGATGTTTTCTGCACTGAATCTCTCGGGCTGTAGCATGGAGCCATGAAAAATTTCAAACTGCCTCAGAATCCCAGCATCTGTGTGTTCCATACACCTGTGTCCGAGTTAGTCCGATACAGCTACTCTGAACTTTAGCATGACTGCACCAATACCAAAATTAAGTATTCAAGTTCTCTCATTAAATGTAATCTTCCTAATGACTCAGTAAATACAAGATGTACTGACCAAAGGAAATTATTTTCAAAGAGTCTATTTAATATCATATTACCAAGTCACTTTTAAAAACAGCATGAAAATCTGTGTGATTATTTAATTGCTTTCTTCCAAACTGAAGCTGCCACACATTCTGTGCACGTGCCATGTTCTTAAAACTTTGTCTGAAAATTTCACTTTCTAAAATGTTAAAATTGTAATTTTGGAAGTGCCAATATTTTTACTAAGTTTCTACCTCACCCAGCCACCATATAAATGTTCTAATAAAATATTTTAAGAGACTTATAAGATATAAAAGGATTTTGCTATAAATAATTATCCCTAAATATTTTTCTTTTTGGAGGTGTCATAAAAAGAAAAAACAAGGAAGAAAGGAAGAAAAAGAAAGGAAAGAAAACTTATTTTCTTGTTCAAATGCTATGTCCATCCAATCCACACAATGTGGGCCTGAAGCTGGAGGTGGGGGTGGGGGTTCCATCATAGAACAGCACATCATGTACATCTATAGCCTGAGGTATCCCTATCTCCAATGGGTGGCTGATATGGCAGTTTTGGCTGTCAACCTTTTCATAGGACAGAAACTGCATTCACAAGGCCCAAGGGAAGCACTATGCTGTGACCACCACCCCCAACACACACATACACACACACGATAAAACTCCATTCTTGCAAACACGGGGCCTTTCTGCCACATACACACTGGGCCAGCAGAGCTTCAAGGAGGCCCAGTTCCAGGGCAGAGATTTCTATCTTCCTCCATGAAAGCAACTGTCCACGCCAGACCAAATAAGCAGGCGCTACAAATGCAAATCAAGAGGGATGCAACTGCCAACAGCAACAGAATCTGGGAAAAGAACATGGCTCAAATCTTAGCTTGATCACTGTCCCTAGGGTCTTTGACTGAATGACACTTAGCATGTCATTAGTCCTCACAGGCCTGTGACGTAGGTATATGAAATGAGTTGATTGTTATTGTGGATTATAATCAAGTGGTCCAAGAGAAAGGATTCAAAGGTTGATTATACGGTCACACAGTAAGGTTGGCCCACTTACTACAAATGTGCCACATTGTCTCCCCTGTCTAATGGCAACCCTTCCAAGTCAGATTTCTACCATTCATTCCAGAGCCTTTAAGGTGTTTTCCAAGGGGGTAGGAAGGAGATGGAAAGCAAGAAAGAGATCATATTGAGATCCTTCTAAGACTATACAAGTTGGAACTCCACATATAAAGGTATCCCCTGGTACAAGGAAAACAATGACCCACCCACCCTGATTCCTGGGAAGTGGGAAGTGGAGGAAGGGGGGGTATATGCCCAAGGCAGCCATAACCAAATGAAGGACCACTCAGTGGAGGATGAAGCCCCACATAGCTAACAACCTGCTGGCATGCATGGTCCCACCTTCAGCTTCCTGTCTGCTCTTCACCTCAGGCCTGGGTGTCACTGGGGCTGTGTGTTCTGGGAGCCTTCTTTGCTTTTACTGTCCTCCACTGAGCTGCACTCGGGCCCCGAGACTGAGGACTTGTACCCTCGAAGCGTGTGGGCATTCAGCATCTCCAGCAGCAGGTCATAAACTGGGACCACATTTTTACACTTCATGCTGAGCAGATGTTCCATGCCCTTGTTACTATGAGAAGAAAAAAGCACTGAGATTCCTTCCCTTCAGATAGCCATGGGAATGATGAAATAGACCCCTAGTCTCCTGCACAGAGCTGCCCACCCCCAGCATTCCCTACCCCATATCTACAGCTCCTGTATCCAGCTCCCTCTGTATTCTATATTCACAGCCAAAGATGAGATCCTCTTTTTCTTTTTGAGACAGGCTCTCCCTGGAGCCCCAGCTGACCTGAAACTCGCTATATAGACCAGACTGGCCTTGAACTCACAGAGATCTGCCTGCCTCTGCCTCCTGAGTGCTGGGATTAAAGGTATGTGCCACCACGCCCCACTTGATATCCTCTTGATTTCTGTGTCTTACCACCCAACCACAATGGCCTGGCATAGCACCTGACACATCATACACCGACTTCTCATTATTCACCCTAGTTATGTTTCCAGAAGTCACGGCAAACACTGAATTATCAAATACTGAATTATCATTCCTAGGGAAAATACCCAAGTTGCTACAAACCTCTGGGCTGAGCATTTTCATCAGCTGATCAGTACATATCTTGTTTTCTCTGTGTTTCTATATAAAGACACTTTGCTTACTATATAGTAGATTCATAAATGTTAAACTCAGCCAACAGCACTCTAACTCATGCCTGAATGAAACTTATCTAAGCATTTCCTCCAAGAGGCACAACATTTTTCTCTGAGACCCCTTCAGTATTACACCATTTTAAACAATGAGATCACCCACAAAAAGCACAAAAATATAAAAACGTGGTTCTAAATAGATAGCGTAACCAAGTATGCTTGTTTGCAGTGTGGGACTAAACAGGAAGGCAGAGCATCTAACTCCTTGACTTACCTGGGAACGTCCATAGTGAAAGACTCAAAAATTTTGCCCTTCTGGGCATAGCTTTGAAAATGTCACAAGGACTGGTTTGGGGGTTGTGAATAAATTTCAGCAATTACATAAATTCACAAATACTAAGAATTAACTCTATCTGCAGTGCAAAGGGTCATGGGCTAAGTGCTCATTAAAGAACAAACTGGAAGAAATTTTTTTTTCTTTCCTCCTCAATGTTAAGCCCTTGACGTGTACACTGTTCTTCCCCACAGCCTTAATGGCTTCCCACTCAGGTGAATACTGCCTTCCATCCTCATTTCTGCTCTTCCAGTCTCAGGCCAGGGCTACCCTCTTGGATGACGCCATGCACTGAGCACCACTGTACCAGTAGTAACCATCACAGGACAACCTCTGCCTCTATCAGTGCACATGTTGTGCATTTCCTGACCTGGACCGTGCTCCAGCCCCAGCCTCGCCTCCTGAACCTGTTGAGATGTTCTCTTAGATCTCATTCCCGGTATCCTGATGTCATGGGAAAACAAAAAAGACAACCTACACATTTCCAGTCTCTAGCCAAAGTGTGGCCAGAAGAGCCAGGCTTAGCCTCTCCACAAAAATAGCCCAGGGAAGCCAGGTCTGGTAGTGCAAGTCTTTTAATCCCAGCATTCTGGAAGCAGAGGTTGGTGGATCTCTGTGAGGCTGAGGTCAATCTGCTCTACATAAGGAATTCCAGACCAGCTGGGCCTACTCAGAGATTATCTCAAAAAAATAAAAGAAAAAGATTGAAAATAACTCAGGGTCTCAGTCCTAGATGAGGAACTTCACATTTTAGGACTCTATAAGCAAACCCTAAACTCTAGCAACCACAACCAGATAAGCACCACAGGATGCCACAAAAATCCTACCAGCTGCCATGTGATACCCACACAGTGGCCGCCATGAGAAAGCCCTGGTTACAGGTGCCTGCGCTGAGTTCCCTCCCCTTTCAGAAGCTCATCTTCCTTCAAAGTTGACAATTCTACCATAGCCACTTCAAACCTGCCTGCATTTTCTCAAAGCTCTGAGCATGTCCACTACCCGCACTCCACTGAAGCAGTTTCCTCGGGTCTATACCTGATGTGCCTGACATGAGAGAGGAGCATCAGGAGGTTAGCCAGGCGAACCGACTGCTGCTGGGAAGAGATGCCGCTCTTGGCGATCACCCAGACCAGAGCATCTGTCACAGAGTTCAGTAGGTGGGTCAGCTTCTGGCTGCTCTCTGCCTCCTGGCTTGCTGTAGCCAAAGGGTACATACCTGAACAAAAGAACAAGAGCCCCGTCATTGCTCAGAGAAAAGGAAGCTGAAATTATGTGCTCAACTGTTATGCATGCCCAAGATCCCCAGGGAGGCCATGTCGACCAAAGCTATTCCAATTCGTGTACACATGCGATTCTGTGAAGATGGGTGGCTTTACCTCCCTAGAAGTTCTTCCCCCTAGATCCAGACCCATCACTGAGCTGAAGGGAAGCCTAGCTGAACCCAGGGCAGGTAAATGACCTCTTGAGGTGCCCACTGCAAATATGTAATGTTAGAATCAAGCCTCTGCTCAGGCCACAATGTCTCCTTTCACAGATAGCAACAGACACCCTAGGGAGACTTTGTGGGTCCCTGGTTAAGAGACTTCCCAAGAGTCAAGATCTCTCATCTGGTGAGTGAGTTTCTATCAAAGTCACACTTCCTGTTCCCCACCTTTTCTCCCTCCTGCCTAGGAATCAGAGAGCCTGGCTATAGGCTCTAGCTTTAAAACCTCCCCCTAGCCTTTGAAAGTCTAAGAACAGATTTCCACTTCTGCAATGTGGGCCCTGATTTCTCTCTTTAGAGAGCCTGCCAGCCATGTTGTCTGTCTCTATGCTGGGACCATAGAGGAACACTGCTTACTGAACTCGCCCCAGAGCCCCCACCGTGCTGTTGCCTTTCTGACATTTAATAAAGTCCTTACTCCCCAGTAATCCATTTGAGCGTCGTCTTGAACCTCTCCCATCTAAGGCCTAACACCTGCCACGTTAGATCTGTGTCCTCACTGTTGCAGTAGGCATACCTAGTCACCTTGAGCCATTACATAGTGTTTCTCACATGGTGCTTCTCACCTACAGCAACAGGCTACATGGAAATGGTCAGTGGGTGAGATTAATTCCACTTGGGCCTGGGGGCAGGGAGGAGCTCCTTAACCAAGCAGGATTTAAGAAACATGAACCAGCTTCCAGTGCTATGACACTCCCCCTGCCCACACCCTAATCTGAACCATGAGCCTTAGACAGGGGGCCTACTGCCAACTCTGTCCAGGCCCAGAGCATCTCACATCTGTGGCACCCTGCTGGGGCAAGATCACCAATCTGGAGTCAGGTCTCAAATACTTTCCACCCACTGAGCTAGCTTTCTTTCTGACCCTGAACCAGTCCCCAGCTCCTCGTGACTCAGTTCCTCATTTAGCAAAGTTTGCAGGAACATGGTTGCTTTGGTCCCAGGAAAAAATCCCACCAGGAAGACTGCTTCCCCCTTGCTTCCCTGCCGCAGCCCAGGGTTTCATTCCCTTCTTTCTCTGGGATCCGAGATACAATGGCTGCAATATAACAGAAGAGGGACTCAGGTAACTCTCCTTTCTGCCGCCCCCAGTTCAAATACTCTCTTTCCTGAAACAATTTTTCTTTTAACTCCAAAGTGGGAATAAATGACACTGGAGCTCAACAGGAAGGTGCAGACCTGACTGGAGTGGGAGTGAAGGGTGGCCTCATCCACAGCACCTGCTTAGGTAGGTTTTGTTTTCAGGCATTTTCAGTCCAGTCAAAGCAACCGCGTTTAATTCAGTTCAATTTAGTTCAAGTTACAGTTACAGCAAAAGACATGCAGAAGCACAACCATTCATGTACAGAGCTTCACTCTTCCCCTGTGTGGGCGGTGGGGGGCTCCATAGTGTCTGCTGATGCAGATTTGAAACAGTCATTGTCCTTTGAGACAGAGGCTCAGAGTTCATGGCCAGCCTGGATGACATGGGAAGACCATAAACTGAAGTTCCCAGAACTATACAGAAAATTCTACAAGACTGATTAGAAAGTCGTCATTGTGTGAAGCTGGGATGTTGCAGAGTCATAGCCAAAATTATCTTGGACTATCTTTAGACCCCTTAATAGCCATTCGTGGCCCACCTTCTATATCTGACCAACTATCTGTTCTAGTTTGTTTCTCAATTGCCATGACAAAACACTCTGACCAATACCAACTTGGGGAGGAAAGGGTTTATTTGGCTTCTATCTCCTGGGTCACACAGTTCATCACTGAGGGAGCCCAAGTTAGGAACTCAGGTCAGAAACCTGGAGGGAGGAGCTGGAGCACAGGCCATGGAGGAATGCTGCTTACTGGCTTGCTCCCCTGGCCCACTCTCAACCTGTTTTCTTATACAACACAGTCCCCCCTTCCTGGGGTGGCACCATCCACAGTGGGATGGGCCCACCCACATCACTCAACAATCAAGAAGATGCCCCACGGACATGGCCATAGGCCAGTCCAATGGAGGCAACGGCCCAACTGAGGCGCCCTCAACCCAGGTGTGTCATGTTCACAGTAAAGCTATCCAGCACAATTGACCCCTTGTCAACTTGACACAAACACATCACTATTAAACCACCACCTTTCTATTTCTTGTCGCCAAGATATGTTAACATTAATATCACAACAGAAGACAGTACAACCTTAAAAGCCCCACAATCCTTAAAAAAATCCAAACAGTATACAGTCTCTTTTAAAAGTCTCTTAACTGGGGCTGGAGAGATGGCTCAGTGGTTAAGAGCACTGGCTGCTCTTGCAGAGGACCCAGGTTCAATTCCCAGCATCCACATGGCAGCTATGAACCATCCTTAACTCCAGTTCCAGGGGAATCCGAAGCCCTCTTCTGACCTCCTCGGCATTGCACGACATGGGTGCACTCACATACATGCAAGCAATACACTCGTACACATAAAATAAAAATAAAAAATTAAAAGTCTTAACTGTGGGCTCCTATAAAATTCAAAACAAGTACTGTCTTATTTTAAAGGGAAGAATCAGGCACACCTAAGCAAAACCTAAGTCTAGCAAAGTAGCTCAAGGCTGGACATCTGGGATTCACTCATGATCTTCTGGCTCCAAAGGGTTTTGGCAGCTCTGCTTCTCTGATTCTGTCATCCATAGCCCTCACAACTTGTCTCACAGACCCAACTACATTTCACACCTGCTGCTGCCTTTGATGGTTGTCCCATGGTCCTAGCATCTCCAAAAAGCTGGGGTCTCCACCGAAACTGAGGCTGCACCCTCACCAATGGCTTCTTCTGGCCTCTTGGGGTATACCGCCTCAGATTCTCTCCATGACCCCTTCAATCCTGAGGTCTTCACTGTAACTGAGGCTGTACTTTCACCAATGGCTTTTCCTGGCCTCTCAGGGTGCCAAGCCTCAGCTGCTCTCTGTGACCCCTTCATACTTTCAATACCAGAACTATGCAGGAGACTCTTAGACATTACCAAGTTCTGCTTCCAGCTTGAGATGGAGCCTCAGGCTTCCATGTGCTGACCCTGAGGAAACACTTCCCAGAAGATTTCACCACAGTGATTCTGGTCTCTTGTAACTTACAGCTGATTTTTCAGCCCCAGCTAACCAGCATCAACTGTCCCAGTAAAGCAAAGGTTTTACTTCAGCTTCTGGTCTCTCTTTTTTTTTTTCTGTCTTTTTGAGACAGGGTCTCCCTGTAGCCCCAGCTGTCCTGGAACTCACTATGTAGACCAGGCTGGCCTTGAACTCACAGAGATCTGCCTGCATCTGCCTCCCAAGTGCTGGGACTACAAGTGTGCGCCACCACGCTCAGCTCTGGTCTCTTCTTAATCACAGCTGATTCTTCAGCCCCAGCTGACCAGAATCCATAGATTCTCAATTCAAACTATCACACAAACAACCCTCTGCTTCCCTTTGAACAAACTCTGAGTACTCAATGGCTTTTCTAGCCCAAAGTTCCAAATGCCTCCACAATCCTCCCCAAAACACCAAGGTCAGGTCTGTCACAGCAGTAACCCACTCTCTGGTACCAATTTCTGCTCTAGTTTGCTTCTCAATTGCTATGACAAAACACTCTGACCAATACCAACTTGGGGAGGAAAGGGTTTATTTTATCTTACATCTCCTAGATCACAGTTCATCACTGAGGAAGCCCAAGTAGGAACTCAGGGCAGGAACCAGGCCACAGAGGAACGCTGCTTACTGGCTTGCTCCCCTGGCCCCTGCTCAACCTGCTTTCTTATACAACATAGGCCCACCTGCCCAGGGGTCGCACCATCCACAGTGGGCTGGGCCCTCCCACATCACTCAAAAATCAGGAAGATGCACCACAGACATGGCCACAGGGCAGTCCAATAGAGGAAATTGCCCAATTGAGGCTCCCTCAACCCAGGTGTGTCATGTTGACACTAAAACTATCCAGCATACCGTCTTTTTGACTCAGGTATTCTCAGCAGACCACTAGCTTCTACCAACTCAAAAGCTAAGAATGTCATCAGATAGCATTTGAAATCTATAGCACAGTTTTTCTTGCTTTGCTTGAACCCACCCACATGATATTCACGCCAACGTTCTTGGTAAATGCCTTGACTTATGACTTTCTTTTGTTCTGAAACTGTAAAAAGTTTATGAAATCACTCCCACATTGGAACATGTTATTCCGGGCAACTTGAATCTGTGTTCTAAGGCCATGGTCACTCATACTTGACTCAGTATAAACTATTCCATTTGAAGTGAGAATTGTGATTTGCAATGACAAGATACTGTCTCAGAAATCCAAGTTAGGGCTAAGGATGGACCTGTCCAACATGCACAGGACTCTGAGTTTAAGCTCCAGCATCCTACCTCCATCTTCCTAGTACTGAGGTACAGGCTTGAGCCACCACACTGGGCTTACATGGAGCTGGCTTTGTGCTAGGCAGGCACTCTACCACCTGCATCCCCAGCCCTGTCCTTGCTCCCTCAAGTCTCAGTTCCTAATTTTACCTTGAACCCACATTCCACTCCCTGCACAGGTGATGCACTGAGCATGTCCAATCTTCTACTGAGGTCTTCCTTCTCCATCTTTCCTTCTTGTGTCAATTTATGCTCATTCCTCCTTTGGATTTCAGTCTGATCAAGAACTTCCTTCTGTAGCTTCTCCTGAGTACCACCTGGCATCTAGCTTGAGTTCTGTTCTGAAGCTCCATTTTCGGGAGGTCTGCCGTGTCCTCACACCTCTGCAGTCACTCTCCCA